TACCTTTGCTCCAAGTTTTTTTAATAAGACTTTAAAGATCTAATACCTGCTCATTTTTGTCCCATGTTGTCACTCTGGAGCTCCTTCTGAGATACCATGGGCCACTCCGCTGCTTTTCTAATGAATACTTTGTTTGAAATGTCTGGTCTTGTTTTTTTTTTTCAAATGTTGGTATTTTTAGGAATCAAAAATAAAAGCCACAATTCTATACTTTTATATGAACATCAAGGATTTATAATAAATGTGTCACATTATGGATGAGTGGCTAATATTGTGTTTAACAGGAATAACAAATACCTGGACCTGTTTGCTGTGGGATTGCGATCATGTAAGTACTATGATAGTACTAGTACTAGTGATAATACATCTGTTATTGAATCTTTATTTTCAGTGATCCTTATGTAAAATGTTCAGTGCCAAAATCTGTTTTCTTCTGCCTCTGTTGCTGCTAGATGAATGCAGACAGGGAGATGGTATGGTTCTCTTCTTCTCCATGAAGAATCGAACTGTTCCAGAGTACATCTACTCCACACCCTCCGGGGTCTGTAGCCTCGACATCCATCCACACCACTCGTATCTACTGGCAGTGGGCTTCTACGATGGCTGCGTGGCCGTTTACAACTTGAAAAAGAAAGAACCGCACCCTGTTGACAGGAGTACGGTGAAGAATGGCAGGCACACAGTTCCTGTCTGGCAGGTGACTGGGGGGGGGGGCATGGCAGATAGGGGAGTTTGCCGTTTGCGTGCTATTCAGTTAAATGTCAAAGTGGTCACCGCTGCTTAGTTTGTGCTTGCATTACTCCCTTCTTTCACTAGATTTGGCAGGAAACAGTAAGAAGCACTAAATAACCGAATCTGTTTTTAAAGCAGGCAGTGGTATAATGATTATCACTTTGTTTTTTTGCACAAAGACGAATTTTGCTATGGATAATCCAAGATGTTAAATCTATTTATATGTTTAGTCTTTTCACATCTGTATGGTATCTAGGTGTACTGTCAGAAAGATGATATGGATGGCAACCATATTTTTTATTCTGTGTCAGCTGATAGCAGAGTGGTGTCCTGGACTCTTGTCAAGGTTACGTAGTATAATAAATACCCAGGGGTTTTTCAGAAGATTGTTAGCATTTTTATTCTAATTGTTTCTCTTGGTTATTCCAGTGTTTATTTAACTGATATCTGTGTTTCTGTTTGTATGATTGCAGCACAAGCTTATTTCAACGGACATTATCAGACTGTGGCTGAAAGGTGCTGCCTCTGATGCACCACATGCAGCACAGCGGTCCAACTTTTGTAAGACTGCCTCACAGATGTCTGTGAGGTTCTCTCTATGACAGTTATTTAGTGTCAGTTAATCAGTTTACCATATTAGACTGAAAGCTGTGACAGATTATATCTTAATGTCAATGGTAGGTCAATGGACTTCAATAAACAGATTGATGATCTGTTTTTAGTTGGCACCGAGCAAGGGAAAATTCATAAGGTATGTGTGAAGGATTTCACAAGCTGCTTTTGCTGTGTGACGCCTCTAAAATTGCATTAAGAATGCCACTGATGTGATCCGCTTCGACAGGCAGACCTCCAGGGAGAAAGGAAGTCACAACTTAAATTGAGATACAGTCATTATTCACAAATCTAATACAGATTAGGCATAGAAAATAAATAAAAATGACTACACTGTAATGGAGAACTAGTTGAGAAAACAGAATTGCCTCGAGTAAAAGTCAAGGTTGAGCAACATACTTACCAAAAGGACCAGTTGTGTTTAAAAAAAAAGAAATGTAAATCCTTTTATTGTTCCACAATTGGGAAATTCCCTCTCTGCATTTTACCCATCGCCTTGGAGAGCAGTGGGCTGCCATTGTGTGGCGCCTGGGGAGCAGTGTGAGGTTAAGGGTCTTGCTCAGGAACCCAGAGTGGAGGCTTTGGGGTTAGGGTTACTTGCACCTTTCTCAGAGCACAAGCGCACTGCTCTAACCACTAGGCCATCACTCCCTTTTTTTTTTTTTAGCTTCTTGAGAGAAATTAGAAACACTAGATTGTTGCAAAAAAATCTGTGATAATTTACTCTAATTGTGACTTTAATGGGCTCCTGATAACAGTTAAGTCCTTGCAGATGAAAATGCATCAGGGCATGATGACTTACTTACTTTACCATTTGTTGTCCCAGCCAGTGGCACTAAATACTAAATTTCAACTCACCCACCTTATAACACACTACAGAACAATTTTGTAATGTTTGATAACTTAAAAAAGAGAAATAAAGACCCTATTTGCTTCACTCGTAAGTGTGCCATACTTTCCTGTGCTCTTCTTGTTAACTTGTTGTCAGGCACGTACCCAATATGTGTGAAATTACATCCTCGGTCTGTCACACTGGCAAAGACACCTCAGACAGGACAGATTAGCAATCTATCAGGGAGCTGCAGGACAGCAATCCTTTTGACAGTGTTTGCCGAGGCAGCAGCTGTGTGTGCAACCTATAAAGTATGTTTTATCCAAGATTGTCTTGTAAATGTATTCCTGCAGTCTAATTCTGCTGTTGTTTTGTTGCTTTCACCAACCTTAAATAAACTTTAGAATTAAGCTGTCAGATACAAGATATTGATGGATACACTCTGCCCAGCTTTACAGTGTAGGCACATACCTCATAAGAAATAACAAGAAAATCATTTTTCTTCCACAATGTGTTTTTTCTTACATTTACCTCAAGGCATGCTGTTTTTAGAGTTTTTCATTTTAGTATTTACATTTATTATCTATCATTACAGCACAATATTTAAACAAAAACATGTCCATATTTTAACATATTAGCTTTTATTTACCTTAGGGTTGTCACGATACTAAACTTTTCAACTCGTTACCGATACTAAGGAAAATATTCGATACTCGATACCATTTTCGATACCACAAGGATAAAAACAAAGACTCCAAAATTCTACAGAAATATTTCTTTAATAAATAAAATACAATAAAGCTTGTATGCTGTGCACAATATTAAGCAAGCTTGATAAAAAACTTATAAAATTGAAATTAAGTGTTCCTTCCTTGGCTATGCTTTGCACACATAACAATGACACTAGCCAAACCTGTTAAGAAACAAAAATAATTCTCAGCAGCTGCACCTCTTACAAAAACAAAGTGTGAAACTGAAAAGTGCACAGAATTATTCAATCACACAGTGTTCTGAAAGTGCATTGTCCTCTATTCTGCACTTTAGATGAATGACTGCTTAGGTGCCACTGGTGGTGGCACTGTATTGATACTTTTAAAAACGAGTATTGTATCCGGATACAACGTTTCAGTATCGATACTTTTTTGAGTATCGATACTTTTGACAACCCTAATTTACCTTATTTTAATAAGGTCCAATGTACAAGGAAAGAATGAGCTGAGTAATTCACATAATGTCTTCAGAATATTGACATATTTTTGACTTTAACCTGTAAAAAAATCTAACACTTTCCTTTTATTTTCAAGTGCTCGAAGCTTTACTCCAATCTGTTCCTGGAGACTTATGAGGCCCACAAAATGCCGGCAGATACTGTGAAGTGGAACCACTTCCATCCCAACATCTTCATTTCTTGCAGTTATGACTGGACTGTTAAGTTGTGGGAGCACACCATCAAGTAAGAAGCACACATGCGTTTAGTACATTCATTTGCTGAGGAAATGCAGTCAGTTGAACTCTAGACCTTTTTTATCATCTTAAGCTGTTGACTATAAAATAATAGAACAAACTTGAACCTGATGGGCCAGTATATCATGGTATCTTACAGTTGATGTGGTATAACAAACATCATGTGGATATTATGTCCTTAAAGACATTGGGTTAGATTTGAGCAATTTTGAACAGAAACAACTTCTAATATTTTGTGTAATATAGCTAGAAAACTCTAAAGCTCAAAATCTATTAAATTTCTCTGCAGTTGTGATTAGTCTTTTACTGCAGCTTATAGTAACTAGAATTACTGTGATGGATTAAGGAAATTAGGAAAAATGTTGATGCAACATGCAAGAACTGGGTAGCCAAAGGTGACCAAAGAATGATGAAATCATATTAGGCTGACTGAAATCATCCTTTATGTAAAATATTCTAGATAGGTTATTTTTTGTCAAGAAAGCATTCTGCACCTCTGCGTCTTTTACTTGCTTGCTTCTTTGTCTGCTTGTGTCGTCTTGAACCCCGCACTAAGCCTGGTTCTGCTGGCGGTTTCGTCCTGTTAAAAGGGAGTTTTTCGGGAACCCATAAAATTTCTGATGTTCTGTTGTTTCTCTCCAGACCTACCACTTCAGTCGAAAGGGTCATCGCAATTATTAATCAGTTTGGTTCATTTTCAGGATACAAAATAAACTCCAAATATGAGTCCATGCCCCTGGGTAGACAACTGTATATCCCTAGGTCCCCTTTTAAATGGTCCCCTGCAGGATTTAAATATTTCTTTGCATATTTGTCAGGCCTAACTTCAATCAGATGTTTAAAGAAAACGTTATCCAATTATTTGAAAAAATTAAGCTAGACCTCGAACGCTGGAATTCTCTTCCCATATCTTGGTTGGGCAGAATTTCGCTTCTTAAGATGAACATTCTCCCACGCTTGTTATACCCAATTAGGATGATTCCTATCTTGTTTACCCAGAGGTGGATCCAAAAATTGAAGAGTTGGTTTGGATCCTATATTTGGGCCAAAAGAAGGCCATTCATTAAAATGTCAACACTATAGCTACCAAGGAACATGGGAGGTTTAGATCTTCCAGATCTCAAAAAATATAAGTTGAGTTCTCTTATATTATATGCAGGGGAGTCGATATCTGGAAATCAACCCACAGTGTGGCTGGACATAGAAGCCTGATTATGCGACTGCCCTCTTAATAGCCTGCTTTTTGTTAAAAATATGAAAACGATAAACAAATGTTGTAATAATCCAATTACCGTGAATACAGTCAAAGCTTGAAGGGCGGTTCGACATATCGAGGGAAGAAATGGGAAAACATCCCCATTTACGCCTTTTGTCCAGAACCCTGACTTTCGTCCGGGTATGACAGATGCAGGTTTTGGGGAATGGGTGGCTAAGGGTATTTCTTCTCTGGGCTGTCTTTTTAAGGGGGGGGATTCTTATGTCATTTAATGAAGTTGTGGAAGCCTTTGGAGTAGGGAAAAATAACCTCTTCAGTTTCTTCCAGATAAGAGACTTTGTTAAAAAAGAAACAACTCTACTCGGGGACACTGAGGTTTCAGGCATTGAAAAATATGTACTCGTGAAGTGTCACTCAGTGTATGCTATAAAATATTAAAATGTGATAAGTGTCACTTACCAACTCTGGCCCAGGCCTGGGGAGGAGAGCTGAACATCGAGATTACCGATGAAATGTGGAGCAGTATTTGGAACTCGGCCAGAAAAATTACTATCTGTAATCGCTCCTGGGCATTGCAACTTAAATTACTGCATAGAGCTCACTTGGCCCCAAACCAGTTGTCTAAGTTTAAACCTGGGTCCTCTTCACTGTGCCCTGAGTGCAAAATACATGAAGGCGGCCTCACACACTGTCTTTGGTTATGCCTCAAGATCCAGTCATACTGGAAGTCTATTCTGATTGAGACTAGTAAAATCATCAAAACCAACATTGATCTTGATCCAGTGTCTTCTCTCATTGTTCTACCAAATAAACATATCCAAAATCAACACAAGAGTATGTTGTATAATGTCTTGACTTCCTGTGCAAGAAAGAATATCTTGTTACATTGGCTCTCTAATAAATCTCCCAGTATTTTTGGATTGAAGAAGCTTGTTTTGGAGCATATCCCTCTTGACTTCCTAACGTGCCTTGTCCACTCTAAGACTGACATTTTTGGACGCATATGGAAGCCCTTTTTGGATTATGCTGAAGGACACGTGTCTACTATTCTATCACGGGCATTCATAAATGTTTAGATGTGGACTAAATAATAATGGAAGTATGCACGCCCCCTTTTTTATTTTTATCTTTTTTTGTCTCTTTTGCACTGCTGAGCTTTTGTTCTGTTCTTTGTTATGTTTTGTAGTTGTTAAGAAACAAAAAATTAGTAAAGATACCTATGAAAAAAGGGAGTTTTTCCTCCCCACTGTCACTACAAGCATGCTTGGTGTGAGGGATTGCTGAACAGTCAATGATTCAATGCAATCAACTGGTTTTCCTTAGATAGAAAACAGAATCAATTTGACTGTATGATCTGGTTGAACTGTCTGCAAAATGCCTTGAGATGATATGCATTGTGAATTGGTGTTATATGCATAAACTGAATTGAATTGAACATTCTCTGTCCTATGTAGACACGCCTTAGTCCAGTTATAAAACAAATATAATACTTTTGTCCAGTTTTTCGGAGACATCGCTATTATATTTTGATAGGATATTCATAAAGTTACTTATCTGCTTTGAAAAACTATTACAAAACATGTTTCTATTTCCCACATCAAGTATTTTTATTTGGGGCTCTAAAACTTTTTTTTATTAGGGTATAGTCCTATTTATAGATTAGTTATGGCTTATGCCATTTTTGTAAAATAATAATTATACCACTGTCGTTCATTTTTATTATCTATGAAGAGGCTAAGAAATATTAGCATAACATTTTCAGTTGCTAAACATTTGGTCCAAAGCATCATAGCTGCTCTATTGATGCCTGTGCCTAACGGCAGGGATATAATAGGAGCAATAATTATATTATTAATAAATAAGGCAGGGGATAACATGGTTGGTCTTTAAATTCAAGCCGTTATTCTGGGACAACTTTTCTAGTTTTTACTTCTGTATAACATTTGATGAGATTTCCATGAGAATCCAAGTCATTTGTACTTCATTTTATCCTATGATTCATTTTCCTAGCCCAGGATTACTGGAACTAGAGGACAGTTTGCAGGGGTTCTCTATTGGACAGAGCCCCAGACTATCTGAAACATCATTTATCAACACTTGACTGTGACACTGCTGTTTATGTGTTGCTAAGACATTTGGCCACCATTACAACAGCCAGCGCTCTATTGGTGTCCCCTGGCTTAACTGGACTTTCCATTGAATAAAATTAGCAGTGTTGAACTTGATGAATGATGGTGTAATCATTGCCCTGTCAGGTATTCCTGTTCATTGGAATAGGTTCACTTTCAGAGGAGTTAAAGCCCTTAGAAATAGTATGGCCTCTCTGATGAGTGGTCTTAATGTCTCCCTCTGTAGCCTAATGTTGCTTTAAATGGATTGGGTTGACATCAACACGACTCCATCCATTTGACATACAATGATTGACAACCTTAATTTTAATCAGTTGAAAAAGATAGAGCTTTGTATATAGAACCATCTCTCTGGTCATTCATTTTGTGGAGGACTTGCACAAAATATTTTTTGTTATAAAAGTGCAAATCATTGCTGTGTCGTTAAGATTTGTACAATTTTACCTATTTTCTTAACAGATAGTTATACATGCTTGGTCAAATTTAATACTTCCCCCATTCTTTCCAAGGTGTTGCAATGGGTTAGTCTTTATGAGCTTCTAACTCTCATGGTGGATTTAGCATAATTTTCTTGGCTCATTTGATTAACCCACACATCCTCCCACATTGTGTCTGCACCAGCAGCTTGACTGAATAATGATAGTAATCATTTGCACATCATGAGAGCCTTTTTTTCAAAGTGTGATCCGTAAAAAAAAATCCTAAAAATACCAAACTTCAGATTTCTGAATTAAAAACGCTAATTTTCCAGATCATTATGGAGTTAAATAGTCTAAGCCCTTATGAACAAATGGATGAGGAAACTGTTGATATTGGTTGGTGACAAGGCTCTGAAAAGACAACAGGTTTAGCAAAAATAGCTCCACCTTCACCATATTGTAATGTGGAAAGATTAGACTAGACTCTTTCCCCCGAAATATAAAGTAGTTTTGAATAGTATAAAAAAAATGATTGCTGAAAAGAGACAGGTGAGAATGAAGCACAAAGAAATATTTGGTTTTGGTTTCAGAAGTCACTTATAATTAGTCAATATAGTTAATCTTTGAGTCATTTATTTCCAGTATTCCAGCGTAAATAAAGCTGTTCTGTGAAGATCTGAGATGTTTGCTATTAATTAATACTGCAAATTATAATCATTTTCCAAACTGATTAATCTGTTGATTATTTTTTTAGATTAATCGATTAATAATTGGATAGCAAAAGGTTCCTTGTAGAAGATTTTTACAGAATTTAGATCAGTTGAAACTAAAACCTGTTCACATAAGGAGTTTTGGATAGAGCATATTGATGGACTAAAACATCTTTTTTAACCATAAATAAAAAAAAATGTTTATATATTTTAACAGTTTTGGTATAATTACTTCTCTAACTGATTACTAAATTAGTTGACAATCACGATTAATCGATTCTTTCAGCCCAACTATGAATTATAATTGCTGTTCATTTTAGTTAACAGTAGTTTAATTGCACATTTGTCCTGATGTTTTTATGATGTAATGCACCTTAAATTGCTATGCCGCTCAATCAGCCATACAAGTAATTTAGTTTACTTTTTACTTCAATATTCATTATATACAATTAGAATGAGTAGAAAATAGAGGGAGCAGCAATGCACGCGCTTTACTTGTTCTCAATGCATCCGGCTTTATGTACCTAATGAATTGCGAAAAACATGCATATATGGGCCAATGTGGATAAAACAATGCTTATATCTACCAATGGATTTATTCAATTCAAATAAAAAACAAAAAAACAAAAAAAAAACAAAGAGAAATTAAATGTTGCAGTAACTCTTTCCTTTTTACCAGTTGTTGTAGATGTTAATAATTTTAGGCAGGGTGGATCTTCTCTCTGTCTTGCACCGAATCTGGAAAAGCTTCTGAATGGAGACACTGGTATTTAACAGTTTGGCGAAGAGGATGCTCTCTGTTGTTCATAATGTTATCCATTTCATGAAGAAGTCTTCTAAGTGAAATAATCTCCAGAGGTTCTAGAGGGGTGCTTGGAACAGAGCTTGCCTCTTTATTAGCTTTTTGAGCTTTTTAAAGTCATTTTTTTTTAGAGGTATTGGTCTCTCTAGCCAAGATGTATAGGTTGAGCATGCAGGTGTACAATTTTCTCAGTCATGCGATTTGAGTCCTCTATATATTCTGAAAATTCGGTCTTTTACCCTTTAATCCCTGCTCAGCATCAACAGTTTAGGCATTTGAGAAAACTGTGTTTCCACTCCACACAATGGACTGTAAACTGTTAATCCTAACAAATAAAGTCTTTCTCATGATATTACCAGTAAGAGACTATGATTGATTTACTTTTGTATTTTCTTTTTCAGCACTCCACTGCTCACCATTGATCTTTATGAACCTGTTGCGGATGTTGCATGGGCTCCTTACTCCTCCACTGTGTTTGCTGCTGCGACAATAGATGGAAAGGTAAGAGTCTTTTTCAGTTCCGTCCTGTTTAGAATTAGGAACATCCAAAACATCTCTTTACATTCAAGTGTTTTTATTTTATGTACACTTTTTAGCATTTTTATTTGCCTTTATCTATGGTTTTCTTTATTACATTTTCCTATGATCTATCCATACATCCATCCACCTTCAGGGCCACAGTGGGGCTGGTGCCAATGCCCGGCAGTCTGTGGGCGGGAGGCGGGGTACACCCTGGGCAGGGTTGCGTGGTTGTCACAGGGCAACACAGAGACGCATGAAGACATGCAACCATGCGTACACACACTCACACCTAAGGACAATCTAGGGAACAGTCATGTTTTTGGGTTATGGGAACAAGTCAGAGTACCCAGAGAGAACCCACACATGCATGGGGAAAACATGCAGACTCCATCTTTTTCATTTACTAATACAAGCTTACTGACATCAAACATAATCCATCAACAGTTTCTTTAAGACAACACAATGATTAGGCTTTACTTTTTATAATATGCCTCACCTTAGTACCACAGACAACACATAACCATTGTGTATCACAAATAACTTGAGCTTGACATCTATTAGACTGAACTCGTGAAACACCAAACAGCTACCCCATCCACCATCTGCCCTCAGTTTTTAATCATTCGTATCTGTTGGATGAGCCTCAGATCAAAGCTAAGTAGCCTCAGGAAATCGAGTTGCTTCAGACTCTTGTTTCCTGTAACAAAGAAGCTTTCTAGTTATTGATTCCAGGCAAAAGTAATTTTGGCGGGTGTTGTGTTGCTTATCTTCACATATTTTTTTTTAGTATGGCTTCAAGCTGTCCCCATCTGTTTGTCCTCTCAGTCTGTGCAACACTATAAAAGTCAGGAGTGTTATGTCTGACACGTTTCCTTTCCAATGTGCCAAGTGAAGCCGAGTGAGAATGACAGAGAGGAAATGAGAGCTGAGTAATTTGACAGACACCTTCTGTGAGATTTGGTGTGTTTAGCTCATGTTCTCTCAGCTGCCAGGGTCACCACAGGTACCAGCTGTGCCAAAGGATAACTCATTATATAACACAACCCACCTTTTACCTAAGTTTCTGGGGGAAGCATTGCATTGCATTTACCAGTGTGAAAACAATTTTCCAGGATAGAAAGCTTTACCAGAATAAAAAAATTGAGCTCTAGCTTATGTTTTGTATACATATTTATGTCTAAGATTTTTGTGTTGTTCTTTCCTTTTGCATACGTTCATCAGCATTTATACATGTAATATCTGAGAAGGTTTAAGACTTACTTTACTTTTAAGTGTTAATAATTTAACTTCACATAGTAAACAGCTGTGGCATGATCACAGGTTTATGGCCAAAACACCAAGGGTCTTATTGTCAGAAGGATTGGGGGTCTTTTACGGCAGCGGTCCCCAACCTTTTTGCACCACAGACCGCTATATGTCAGACAGTATTTTTGCGGACCGGCCGGGGGGGGCGTTGCGGTGGGTGGACCGTTTGCACTTGATCGTATTCAAATCACCCTTGCACAATGACACACGAAGTGTGCTCCTGATGTCCAGTCTGCTCCGTAGGTTTGTTTTGGTCGCTGTAACCGCAGAAAATCCCGCTTCACAAAGATAGGATGTTATAGTTAGGATGAGTCTTAACCTGTGTCAAAAGGCACAGATGCACCGACTGATGTAATTGAGACAGAATACCGCAATTTTTTTATATTTTTCAAAATAAAACATCACTCAGACTCTGATCGTCTATAAATTATTCTGTGCGGCCCCGTGGTTGGG